ATAATTTTATTAAAAAATATCATATTAATATTAAAAATGATATTTTTGAAATATATTAAATCTTTTTCTATTTTATGGATAAAAAGAAAACATTTAAAAAAAATAAAAATAAGATAAAGAAAAAAAGCTAAATGCATGACCCATTAAGAGATAAGAGTCATACTTGGCAAAACTAGGTCCATATGTGTATACTTTTTTTTATTTTTTATTTATTTTAAGAGATGAGATTTATAAAGATGAGATTGAATATTGAATTATTGTGAAGTAAAGAAAAATAAAACAATGAGATTATAGAGCTAAATATTATCGCATTTATTACTATTGCATTGTTTATTCTAGTTCCAACTAACTTTTTACTTATAATATATGTAAATATTGTTAGTATAAGAATAACATAGAAAGATTATTTATTCATATTAAATCCAAAATTATCACATTTTATTGCAATTGCATTATTTATTCTAGTTCCAATTGCCTTTTTATTTATAATACATGTAAATATTATTAGTACAAGTATAATATACAAATATCATTTATTTATACCAAATCCAAAATTGGATCCATGACCTAATAAAAAATCTTTTTATCTTATTACTTTGTTACTTTATACCTTTTTATTGTTATTATTATGTGAACGATTTATAGTGGCTAAAAAATTAGGGGTTTTACCTTTAAAATCCATTACTAACTCATTTTTATCTCAAAAAATACCATATTTTTAGAGGAAAAAAATACCCTATTATTTTTAGAAAAAAAAAAATTAAAAAAAAATCATAATAACTTGAGAATTTGTTTTTTTGAAAATGAGATGAACAATGTAGCTCAATTCAGAACCTATTAAATACAAAAGGACAAAATTAGGTAAAAAAGACTAAAAAAATAGCTTGAGTCAACTTGAGTTAACATGACAAACCTATATCCTCAGTAATTAGGATTGAGCCAACCCAAGTTATCTTGTCAAATCCATGGTCTAGGTCATGAGATCAGGATAACTAGATTGAAAAAAAAAACAATGAAAATCACAAAGACAATTTTAAAAAAGAAAAACAATGTTAATTCACATTAACTTTTCAAACCTATGATCCAGATCATTATACCAGAAGCACTTTATCAGGAAAAACCATGAAACTCAATTCTCAATCAATCAAATGTTGAAGGATGAAATTGAAAAAAAAATCAATTATACAAAAGGACTCAAAATAGAAAATAATAATTAAAAGACTGATGATCAAAATTAAAATACAAAATAAATCTTATCTTTGATTGGAGAGTGAGATTGAAGAGAAAAATCAATTTCATAAAAGAAAAAAAAATCAAAAGAATGAGGAAGTCACTACCTAATATTTTAATCATTAGGAACTCTAATTAGTTTATAAAGTCTAAATAAGAAGACTAATTATACATATAAAAGACAATGTTACTTTTAATATACTATATTTAAAATAAGCTGCATTGTTAATTTTTTAATTATTATTAAGATTTTATTATGTTTTTCTAATTGTTAATTTGTCTATTTGTTAAAGCAAAATCACCTTAATAAAGTGAGTCACAACTTTATGAGTCAAATCTCTTCTTTTTAAAGTCAAAATATATTTTATTATTTTGTATTTTCTTCCTAAGGAATATGTCTTCGTATAAATTCCAAGAATATTACGTATAAGTTTCTAATTCCAAATATATTAAGAACAAACAAATTTGTTTATTTTAGTATTTTTAAAATTTAAATCAAGTTCTCAATTGAGTTTAATAAACTTGTTATTAAGTCCATAATGCATGCAAAATATAAAAACTATTTTGCTGTGTGTGTGTGTTAGGGTGGGGGGGGGGGGCAAACATAGTTGTTTTTGGAGAAATATATAATCTAAAACATAAATATTTTTTTAGAGAAGAATTTTTTATTTTTTTTCAAACTAATTGATTTAATAACAAAGAAATATCTTACATGTAAGCTCATAATATCAAATATTAAAAATTCATAAAAAAAATTATGGTTGAGTTTGGAAAAACATAAAAACAAATCAGAAAATAAAGGTCATGAAAAATATGTTAGGACACTTGAAAAAACATAAAAATAAATAAAAAAATAAGGTCATGAAAAATATGTTAGGACATGTTTGATGAAAATTTTCTTAAGAGTGTGTTTGCTAAATATCTTTTAAAGACTCAAAAACATATTTTTTCTTTAACAAATCTTAACTTTGCCAAAAATGATCTAGCACCTTAAAAAGCCTAGTCTAGTTTTATGGACTAGACTTCCTAGCCTAGCCCAAAACCTAGATTGGACTTTTTAGTTTGATTTAAGATCCAAAAACACAACTTACGATTAATATAGAATTTATGAAGCTCAAATAATAGTTTTCATTTGAATATCCTTAAGAACACGAAGAACATCATATGAACCTAGAAAATTCAACCAAGCTAGAAAATCCAACCGAAGCTAGAGACCATATTGCATCAAATCACAAACAAAGAGAGCTAAACCATGTTAAGTTACATATAAAAGACTCATTCAAGTAGAACAATATGCAAGATATTCCAATAATCAAACCCAATAACTTCTACTTTCTAATTCTTTTTAAGCTTTGTTACTTTGCTCTTCTTATTTTCTTCCACTTTATCTTACTATTTTTTTTCCTAGACTACTTTTCTTTTCAATCGCCCTTTACTCCATGAAAAAATCACTTTTTTTATAGGCTAAATCAAAACGAGAAAGGTATAAAACCACTCATAATCTTTATAGTTGTTTTTCAAAAATAGATCATTATATAAGATTCTTCCCCTCACTCTTTCTTTGATAATCGTCCCTGAAAGTTATGGTGTTTGGTTTTATTTTATCCTTTGTATAATGAATCTTACCAAGAGAAAACAACCTTAAAGTAAGCTTTTCTACGAGTGATTTTTTTTCCAATCAAGGTTGATTGGGT